GGGCAGCCGGTTGTGGCCTGTGCCAAGGCTCCTAGGCCCGGCTGGCTCCTAAGCCAGGCTGCCCCCGCCCCCAGGCTGCTGCGATGGAGATTAGCTGGAGAGAGGTGCGGTGCTTCCTGTCTGGACTCGAGGACGGGCTTTAAGATTGTCGCCTGCCCTGTGCTCCGGGTCCCAGGCCACCAGGGAACGTCTGAGTGTTGAGCAAAGGAAAGTGACACCGTGTGCGACGGCAATGCACACGGTGGCTCCTAAGCCAGGCTGCCCCCGCCCCCAGGCTGCTGCGATGGAGATTAGCTGGAGAGAGGTGCGGTGCTTCCTGTCTGGACTCGAGGACGGGCTTTAAGATTGTCGCCTGCCCTGTGCTCCGGGTCCCAGGCCACCAGGGAACGTCTGAGTGTTGAGCAAAGGAAAGTGACACCGTGTGCGACGGCAATGCACACGGAAGGTGTCACGTCCTGCCCATGGGAACCCAATGAGCCTTGTGGAACATCAGAGGACAAACGACTGTGCACGGCCCCCCCCATGAAGAGGAGGCAGCGGAGCCCTCGTCCCACCAGGGAGGACTCGGGGAAGGAATACGACTCCCAGAGGGGGAGGAACTGCACCCGTGTGCTGCTTGGACTCTGCCGCAAGGCGACTGGGTTAGCTCTTGGGGGGTATGTCTACACTACCCTCCTAGTTCGAACTAGCAGGGTAATGTATGCATACCGCACTTGCAAATGAAGCCCGGGATTTGAATTTCCCGGGCTTCATTTGCATAAGCGGGGAGCCCCATTTTTAAATCCCCTCTGCTTCGAACCCCGTGCAGCGCGGCTACACGGGGCTCGAACGCACTACCGTTACTCCTCATTCCACGAGGAGTAACGGTAGTTCGAACTAGGAGGGTAGTGAAGACATACCCGGGGGCACTTAGCTCTTGCTTATACCCCTCCCCCCCTTCTCGTCCTTTGAGACGCTCAGACTGGAGCCGTCTGTGTGCCGGTGTCCTGCTCAGCCCAGTTAGTAATGCTCATGTCATTTCTCAGGGTTGGCAGCAAGTGTTGCCTTGGTTTGAGATCGGAGGCACCAGGGACATGTGGTGAACGATGGGTCCTTTGGGACTGGGAGTAACCGGACAAAGGATGTAAAATGCCGTGTCGCTGGTTAACTGGTTAAAGGGGGAGCGGCTGGAGGGGCCCTG